AAAAAATACTTCATACAAAAATTACATATTTTTTCCCGCGGAATACGAATCTGGAATAAAACATATGGAACTTTTGTTTGAAATATTAAAAAATATATACGGCCTAGTACATTAAAATAGGACACCTTGTATAAAAGCGCTTCGTTTAGAAGTTGCAGGGAGTTAAAGTTTTCCTTCTGAAATAGTTTTTTATTATTGACACCCGACATAGGTCTCATTTAAAATTTGGATTTATGACCTCTTTTTGAATAGCTCGCCTGGTGGATTCCTCAAAGAAAAATAAAAGATGTTAAAGTTGTTAAACTTCGAGCAAAAAGAAAAAATAAAAATGTTTCTGTTTGCCTCACCGCGGCTATATGAATTTATTTTTCTCCACAGCCAGCTATATAGAACAATGACACTAGATGATTATATTTTTCTATCAAATATTATTCTCAAGGATAGTAGTTTTTTCAGGGCTAACTCCATCTTTTTTTTATTAGAAAATAGGAACGGATATACCTAATTATATTCACTTTTTTGTGATACGCATGACAAACTATGTATTTTTGAAACATTTTTTTTAGTGGACCATAGCCTCCACAAAAAATATTATTTTAGCAATTATTTTTTGACAATTTTTACAGTGAAATTAAATTTTTGTTAAAAATTTTTGAAGCGTTATCGGGTTGTATTAAAATTGTTTTTAAATTTTAACACCCAATACTTTGAATACATACCTGATAAGATTTCATCATTGATATCTATTAGATCGTCAATATACATTCAAAGGTATACTTCATTCATGTTTACCTACATATAGTCGCTTAGTTTTGAATATTTTAGCTATATTAAGATATATGAATATGTATTAGGTACCTACGTAAGTTCCAAAATTGATCAATTTAAGACTATTTTTATCGACTTGGTAATACACACAATAATTGTGGATTTAGCGAAAAATATATTGATATTCAGTGGTACTGTGAAATCATAGATCCATAAAAACGTGTGTAAAGCAAATCGGTACCAAGAGTGTTATTTATATACAGGATGAGTCGGGAGAATCATACCAAACTCCAGGAATGGATTTTACGACACGTCAAAATAATAATAAGAAAAAACTCAAATGTTGTTATGGGATTTTCATTTGTTTTCAAGCTATAACGTACATTTCAGTAAAATCCATTAATTCGTTGATATTCTATTAAATACTGTGTTTTTTGATTAAATATTCAAAAACACCACCACTGACAATGTAGTAGTTCTTCTGATTCTGCATATATTTCTTTAATAAATGCTGCAGTATTGATAATACATTGCATTAGTGCCTCCCGAGTGTTTACTCTTACCAGTGGCGGCTCGTGACATTGAGAATAGTTCAAATTTTCAAGGTCAAACGGCTTTAAATGAATCTGGAAATTTTTAGTTGCATTTGCAATATTACCGAAAAACTGACGTTCGCGAGAAGGATTTTCATTTAGATTTTATAAAAAATAGAAACACAATTAAACACGGCATACAGAAAAGTTTTTTTAAACAAACTCTTTCACACAATTTCACACTTTCACCGAATGTCATTCACTCCGAAACTTCCAAATGTACACTTTGTCTTTTGACTTCCCCTTTTTTTCCACATCGAGAGAGGGCACAGGTCACTCGCAATTTAAAAAATCCTTTCTGTTTTCAAATTTCCATCTGGAAAATGGCATTTCCAATAAAATACATACTGGATCATACATCAGCTCCATCATGCTGGTAGTACATTCGCATTCTCATGTTTATAGGAACGTCCTCTAGTAGTAGGTACTTGTAATTCATTTTGCAAAAAAAATTAAGTAGTAATCTCCTGAGAGTCGAATCTCCAAAATGAAGTCGACAAAATTCGATACGCTTAGCATAATCTTCCATTGTTATAGGTACTCTCTATACATGGTACGGACATAAGCCTTGCTTGTGAAGGGTTTTGATTACTCTTTTTTGTGGAATGCCCAATTGAGTAGCAATTCTTCGTGAACTGGTAGTTGCATCATCTTCTACCAGAATCAGAATATTTTCTACTTCTAAACCTTGTCGATAAGATCGTTCAAATGTTACACTAGCACTGGGAAGCTTTCAGGTGTCGCACAGTTTGTTGAAAACTCTAAATGGGTACATTTGATCAGTACATCTTCAACGGCAGCATTAGCATTCCCATTACAACAACTACAGGGTGTTTCTAAAATAGGGTTCCAAACTTCTGCTGCGTTTATAACTCATTAAAATAAGCCAAAAAGTTCCTATTAACATGTACCCTAAAACGCACCCTTAGGAAGTTATATGCCCTTAAAAGGGCTCAAACAAAACTGTTTTTTTTCTGTTATTAACAAAACGGTCGCAAATAAATAGAAAAAACTTTATGGGTCTTACATAACTTTTTACGTTAAATAACATGGGCTACTCCGTTTTTCGACATGCAAATCATATGCGTCCCATTTAGGTTGGTGAAGGGGGTTTTCGGCCCGTAATTTTTTTATTTCAATGTTTTTACAATTTTCTCTGCAGATTTATAAAATCTTAACAATTTTACGTAAAAAATATNTTTTTAACTTTTCTTAAGCATAGCTCAACAAATAAAAAAATATATGTTTATATTTACCTAAATAATATGGCGAAACTAGCGCCCTCTAGAAGCAAAGTCAAAATAAGCTTCAAATTCGTAATTCTCACACCAAAAAACCCAATACTACCAATTTTCAGAGCCATGCTATTAAAACTTTCTCAATTATTGAGAAATTTCAAAATAAAATTTAAACCTTGAACACCCTGTATTTCTTAAACCATCAACATTCGTATAAGGGATGATGAACTCAAACGTAACATTTTGGTGTTTAGTATCTCCAGCTTCCAGCTTATTGTTGACCCATTCTCTCTGACTCACCCTGTATATATAACTATACACATGAAACCTATTCTTTGGTGAATTTTAAGGGGTCTTATAAAGTTTTTATTTATGACGCTTCGTTAAAAAGATATAGGGTGTTAAACTTAAAAAAATATTTTTAATTTTTTTAAATAATTTAAAAACTAGTAAGTGAAATAATTTGAAATTGTGCACATATATTTATGTAAACATTGTCCAAAATTTGAGGCCTTTTCTAAAATTTAAATATGCTTCGGTGACGCCAGATATAAGGTATCAGTGGTATATTTTTCTAATTGTAAATAAAATAGTACGCTACTGCTTTACGGTAACAACCATGATATTTTCGGATTCGTCTTTCAATATTCTACAAATTACTACTCTCTTATGTTTTTCGAAAAAAGCCTTATTTTCGAGAAAAGCTTAAAAAACTTAAACACCGGACCTCAACCTACTGGATTTCCTTTTGTGGAGTGCTGTTAAACTGCCTATACACTGGACAAATTCATACACCTGAGAAATTAGAAGGAAGAATAAATAATGATTTTCATCGGGCTCAAGCAACAATAAATTGCGAACAAAATTACCTACATTTGCGTTACTAAAAAGATCTCGCGTCAGTATTCATGGAAATGGAGGTATTTCTGAGCGTTTACTCATATAAAATCATTAAAATGATGACCAATATTATTAATTTCTTTATTCGATTAAATAACCGAATGATTAGTGTTTGTAATGTCATTTAAGTAAAAGAGTTTTCAGTTCGTTTTCTAAGTTTTACTCGAAAATCAGGCTTTTTTCGAAAAACTTAAGAGAGTAGTAATTTGTAGAAAATTGAAAGACGAATCCGAAAATATCAGGTTTATTACTAAAGCAGTGACGTACTATTTAATTTAGAAATCTCCGCCACTGGAGCATCTAAATTTTAGAAAAGGGCCTCAATTTTGGGCAATGTTTACATAAATACATATACCGAATTTCAAATTAATTTACTTACTAATTTAAAATTATTTAGTACCTAAGTAGTAAGTAAGTAGTAGTAAATTATTATTATTATTATTATTATTATTATTATTTATAGGATTTTTTATTATTTCAATAATAGATATCTAATTCAATAACTTGAACGTTAAGGAATATACGACATATTTATTATAAAAAAGGATACATATTACTATCTCAAGGTCATATTGTAATGCCTGTTGTAGTCGTAAATAATATCCAATCGTAGTGGACATTTATAGGCGTGTAACTAGAATTATAGCCAAACTTTAACAAGAGATTTAAAGACATAAATTAAGAAAAATAGTTTTGACGTTTAAATTCATAGCCAACTTTTGAATTGTCGATGATTTTATGTAATACAGCTACAATACGTATTATTATTAGTTATTCGTGTTTTTGTTAAAAACGACAAAGTTTTTTGAAAACTAACAAGTGTAAGGAAAGTTTTAGAATTAAATTCCCCATAAAATAAAGTAATAATTATTTAAGTCCGCCAACGGGTTAAAAAATTCTGTTACATTTTAATGGTGCATCATCCCTTATCAACCCTTTAAAATGCTTCAATTGAATTGTATTTACTGTCGATTAATGCTCTTGGTACACTCACACCGTGTACCAAATATAAGTGAGATATTGTTTTTTTTCGAATTTTGAAACCCCAATTTCAAGGCCTATAACTTCTCAGGGGTGCAGCTTAATATAAAGGTAAGTTGCATTAAATCCCCATAGTTTGGATTCCCCTACATGCCCCTGCTCTGTGTCGGTTCTTATGCGAAACACCCTGTATAAGAGAAATTTTGGTAACATTGTAATCGTTCCACAAAAAGTTGATGGTTTGTGTTCAGACGTATTATTGAAATCTCCAACTTTCGTCACCAGTTTGCACAATAACCCACGCATATTTTTCCCCATAGCATCACTCCATTTAAACATGGTGTTGCACTGCACGCGAGAAACTTGGTCATGTTTATATAAACCTACGTTACCTTGTTAAATATAGACAAAGTTTGTTAAATCGCTCCCCCACTAGACTAACCTGCACGACAGTCAAAACTTCTTTCCGCTAGCTGAGGAGCAAATTGCCATACAGGTAGTCACTTACGCAACCGACTGCACGTCGGGCACGTTACGGCAAAGACACAGTGTCTGGTTTTATAAAAACAGGAGAACTAAATGAATGAATATCGAAAAAAACTGCCGTAAATTAATCCGTGTCAATTTTTACTATAGTACGAGTGGCCTGATACGTCGCAAGGCAAATAAACGAGTTCTCTATTAAATAGCGAATTGTGCAAGTGACAGTTGCACCGATTTAGAAATACAAACAGTGCTAAGTGGATAAAACCGCAGGTTGCATAAAAAAAACAAATGTGCGCGACGTCTTAACGAAACAAAAGAATGGAGGGCAAGATATCGCATAGTGGGCTGTTGGCTCGTAGTCCCGAAGGACACGCGGCCAGGGGCATGCAGATTAAGGGCAACGAGGACCTGTGGGTGGAAATCCAGGCGAACACTTTCAGGAACTGGGTGAACGAGCACCTGCCCAAGAATTTGAGGGTGGCGGATTTATCGCAGGATTTGTGTACAGGCGTTCGACTCTGTGCCCTTGTGGAAGCCCTTAGGGGACGGCCCTTAAAACCCGCGTGGAATAAGAGGCCCGCAAATCAACACCACTATCTGGAGAATGTCACTTGCGCCTTAAATGCCATCGAGCAAGATGGAGTTAAACTTGTAAATATAGGTGAGGTGCTCTTGACTTTTTCACAAATAAATTTATTAAAATAAGATGTGGTGATAGTCTTATCTGATGTAGTGTCTGAGTGTGAGATTTTACACTCAGATGGAAAAATTTACAACTAAAATTAACACCCAAGAGATATGCGTAATTAAAAGACGTTTTAACATAAAATCCATAAAAGTATTTTGGTCCAGGTTCGATCCCTGGCGTCGCGACGGCACTGGCAATGTCAATGCTGTTTGTCCGCGTTTTTTCAAGTGCAGCCCCCTTTCGCACAGCCTTTGGCTTTGGATTTGGGGGTTGTCTCATTTCTGTGGTGTGTTATATGTTTTTTTTTAATCAAACTGAAAATTTCAGTAGATATGTTTTCTGTGACGAGAATTTTATTCATAACAAATATAATCGATGAACTTACACATTGATAAATTGTACCAAAAATAATGTGTGTGAAGTTAGAAACATTTTTCTTCAGAAACGTTTCTGACAATAATGACTACAATTCTATTTAGGTGTAACGGCAATTGTACAATCTAAGAAATAGACCTTTTCGCCAATGGTAATTATAGGAATCAAAAATACTATAATACTCCTGCTGCCTTAAATTTTTCAATACATTCGTAAAGAGATATTCCCTTTTAAGTCCTGACATCTTTCTTTTACAAAAACCTATATGAATCCTGGAATTAAGAGTAACATCAGAAATGAATTTTCTCACCGTAACATAAATCAATTTTTTTCTCAAAAACTATAGAGTGTGCCACCTCAAATTTTTCACTGTTTATACAAAAAGACATGCCATTTCGAGCCCTGCTTTTAGGTTTTTCCAAAAACCCGTAGGAATCTAGAATTAAGACAACTTCAGAAACGAATTTGCGCACCCCTACAAAACATTTTTTTTCTCAAAAAGTATAGAGTGTGCCACCTCAAATTAATCACTGTTTATATAAAAATACATGCCATTTCGAGCCCTGGTATCAGTTTTTTCCAAAAACTCATAGGAGTCCGAGAATTAAGACGCAACTTCAGAAACGAATTTTTGCGCACCCTTATACAACAATTTTTTTCTCAAAAAATATAGAGTGTGCCACCTCAAATTATTCACTGTTTATATAAAAATACATGCCATTTCGAGCCCTGGTATCAGTTTTTTCCAAAAACCCGTAGGAGTACGAGAATTAAGACGCAACTTCAGAAACGAATTTATGCGCACCCTTATACAACAATTTTTTTCTCAAAAAATATAGAGTGTGCCACCTCAATTTTTTCACTGCCTATATAAAAAGACATGCCTTTTCGTGCTCTGCTATCAGTTTTTTCCAAAAACCCGTAGGAGTCCTAGAATTAAGACGACTTCAGAAACGAATTTGCGCACCCCTACAAAACATTTTTTTTTCTCAAAAACTGTAGAGTATGCCACCTCAAAATTTTCACTGCTTATATAAAAATACATGCCCATTCGAACCCTGGTATCAGTTTTTTCCAAAAACTCTTAGGAGTCCAAGAATTAAGACGTAACTTCAGAAACGAATTTTCACACCCTTACACAACAATTTTTTGATACTGATAGCAGAGCACGAAAAGGCATGTCTTTTTATATATGAAAAAATTGAGGTGGCACACTATATTTTTTGAGAAAAAAATTGTTGTATAAGGGTACGCAAAAATTCGTTTCTGAAGTTGCGTCTTAATTCTCGGACTACTACGGGTTTTTGGAAAAAAAAAACTGATACCAGGGCTCGAAAGGGCATGTCTTTTTGTATAAACAGTGAAAAAATTGAGGTGGCACACTCTGTACTTTTTGAGAAAAAAATTGTTTTGTAAGGGTGCGCAAATTCGTTTCTGAAGTTGCGTCTTAATTCTCGGACTCCTACGGGTTTTTGAAAAAAAACTGATAGCAGAAAATGGGCATGTCTTTTTGTATAAAGAGTGAAAAATTTGATGTGGCAGACTCTATAGATTTTGAGAAAAAAAATGTATTGTAGGGGTGCGCAAATTCGTTTCTGAAATATGTCTTAATTCTGGGACTCCTACGGGTGTTTGGAAAAAACTGAAACCAGGGCTCGAAAGGGCATGTCTTTTTGTATAAACAAGGAAAAATTCGAGGTGACACACTTTATAGTTTTTGAGAAAAAAATTGTTTTGTAGGGGTGCGTAAATTCATTTCTGAAGTTACGTCATAATTCTCGGACTCCTACGGGTTTTTGGAAAAAACTGATAGCAGAGCACGAAAAGGCATGTCTTTTTGTATAAACAGTGAAAAATTTGAGGTGGCACACTCTATAGTTTAAAAAAAATGTTTTGTAGGGGTGCGCAAATTCGTTTCTGAAGTTAAGTCTTAATTCTAGGACTCCTACGGGTTTTTGGAAAAAACTGATACCAGTGCTCCAAAGGGCATGTATTTTTGTATAAACAGGGAAAAATTTAAGGTGGCACACTCTATAGTTTTTGAGAAAAAAATTGTTTTGTAGGGGTGCTCAAATTCGTTTCTGAAGTTACGTCATAATTCTCGGACTCCTACGGATTTTTGGAAAAAACTGATAGCAGAGCACGAAAGGGCACGTCTTTTTGTACAAACAGTGAAAATTTTGAGGTGGCACACAGTTTAAAAAAAAATGTTTTGTAGGGGTGGGCAAATTCGTTTCTGAAGTTAAGTCTTAATTCTAGGACTCCCACGGGTTTTTGGAAAAAATTGAAACCAGGGCTCGAAAGGGCATGTCTTTTTGTATAAACAGGGAAAATTGGAGGTGGCACACTATAGTTTTTAAGAAAAAATTGTTTTGTAGGGGTGCGCAAATTCGTTTTTGAAGTTAAGTCTTAATTCTAGGACTCCTACGGGTTTTTGAAAAAAACTGACCAGTGCTCCAAAGGGCATGTATTTTTGAATAAACAGGGAAAAATTTGAGGTGGCACACTCTATAGCAGGGGTCGGCAAGTAATTTTAGGTGGAGTCCGGATACTTTTGAAATTGTTTAACGAGGTCCAGAAAAAATTCATATTTCTTACTAATTTTTTATTTTCATTTGCATTAAGAACTCAAATCAGTCACAATTGTAAAATACTTGAAAAAATGATAAGGGTGGCACTCAAACGTAAAAAAATATTTTTAAAGTAATTTATTGGAGTAATTTATATTTTTAAAAAATTTTTGGGCGGTCCAGTATTTTACCTTCCGCGGTCCGGATCTGGACCGCGGTCCGCCAGTTGCCGACCCTTGCTCTATAGTGTTTGAGAAAAAAATTGTTTTGTAGTGGTGCGCAAATTCGTTTCTGAAGTTACGTCATAATTCTCGGACTCCTAGGGGTTTTTGGAAAAAACTGATAGCAGAGCACGAAAGGGCATGTCTTTTTGTATAAACAGTGAAAAATTTGAGGTGACACACTCCATAGTTTTTGAAAAAAAAATGGTTGTGTAAGGGTGCGAAAATTCGTCTTTGAAGTTAAGTCTTAATTCCAGGACTCCTACGGGTTTTTGGAAAAAACTGAAACCAGGGTTCGGAGGGGCATGTCTTTTTGTATAAACAGTGAAAAATTTGAGGTGGCACACTTTATACTTTTTGAGAAAAAAATTGTTTTATGTTACGGTGAGAAAATTCGTTTCTGATTTTACTCCAGGATTTATATAGGTTTTTGTAAAAGATATATGTCAGGACTCAAAAGGGCATATCTTTTTACGAATGTACTGATAAATTGAAGGCAGCAGGAGTATAATAGTATTTTAGATTCTTATAGTTACCAGTGGCGCAAAAGGTCTATTTCTTAGATTGTACCTTTGCCGCTACACCTAACTAGAATTGTAGTCACTATTGTCAGAAACGTTTCTGAAGAAAAACGTTTCTAACTTCACACACATCCAAAAATAATGAGAATTAGGTTAATACTAAATAATAATGGTGTACTGTTTAAAGGCAAAAAACCTAACAGTTTTCCAAATAATATCAATTTCTTATCCCTCCATGTTAAATTGTAACTAAGGAATAAAAGGAATTCGAAGTTTTATTATCAAGTGAAAAGAGAAGATTTTAAAAACATTATTCAATTATTATTGAACTACTTTTGGTAGGATATCCGCATTTTTGGCTGGTTCTGGCTTAATTATGTAAAAAAAAATTTACTAAATTAATGTAATAAAGTCTGGTATTATATAGTTTAAAGGCACTTTAGTTCTGATTAAAAATTATATTAATTGAACAATATCAAAGGTTATATTAATTTGTATTTGTAGGATTTTTGTAAACAATTAATTTAGACAAATATTAGACGCATTTTTACAATAAGGTTTTTTAACGATCAAAAAATTGGGAAATTTCTGTGATATACCGTTTTACACCGTTTTAGATGGCTACAAAACGTGAATGTTTCTTGGATAGGTGATTATATTTAGAGAAATTACGTTTGGACTGGAAATTTACGTTTGGATCTTTCCTTAGCGTATTAATAGGTAGTCGCTAATATGTATGGAAACGGTCGATTATCTCCTAAAGTAAGATAGCTATCGAAAAATTATAAGACACAAACTTTTCAGGGTTTTTAAAATCTATTACAGAGAAAGAGAAGAGAAGTTGAGATATTAAACATTTTTAAGCGCGTCACGGTATTGAACTCGCCGATTCAATTTCGAGCAGGCCGAAGCGGCCGCGCTCTCTGCTTCCCCCACCACCACCACCCGTACGATTTTCTTGAATTTCTCGCTTGCATAAATAACTTTAAACACGTTTTAAAAATAGGTTGCCAATGAAGAAACGTATTGCAAACTTTGACCTGGTAAGTACTCAATACAAAAAGTATTTTTCGAAAAATTAGCCCGGATATCCCAGTACATTTAGTGTAAATGGCGGTTAACTTTGATCGACTATAACTACGTAAATAATTGATCAATCGATCTGTTTTTTTTTAAAGAAGCGTCTTTCCAATAACTTTTAAAACCTGCTTTAAAAAATTTGATTTGATTGAATATTCACAAAGTTATGCTAATTGTTTACAAAAGTACAAAAATTCGACCAATGT